CCAGTGTCTCTGAGTAGAAGGAAATGGGTATCCCAGCTCAAGAAAAGAAAGGGAATTTCCCTTTCTTCTTCTTCACTTCTTGTTCTGTTACCCGTCTCAATAGACCGGATGATTGCTGCCCACGTTGGTGGGGGTGGATCTTCTTTACTAAGTCTGCTGATTCAAATGCTAATCTCCCCTGGAAACGCCCTCAGTGACTCACCTAGAAATTATGTTTTACCAGCTAGCTGGGCATCCCATGTCCCAGGCAAGTTGACATATATAATTAGCCATCCCATATGCCAGGGTTGGCAAAGTCGTAGGGAGAGGAGAAGTCTCACACACGGCCAGTAAGACTGGAAACTAGCACAAGACTGTCTGAAAGGCAGCTCCTGCAACTTAGCATCATGTGCACACAGAAGCCTCTGGACTAAATGGTGAAAATTCTGCATATAGTTGATCTCTTAAAGTCAGACTCAGTTCCAGAAGAGGTTCATCTACCTGTTTCTTGTGGTAGGGGCGACCCAAGTACCCTTCACTGCAGGACAAGAAAAGGCTAGTGAGAAGGGGCAGTGGGTAAAGGCTCGGAGCGGTCAGCTACTTAAGGCTGAGGCTGGGACACAGCACAGGAAAGAAACAACCACTGAAAGCTTTCGTCTAACTTCCACAAGCGTGCGGTGGCATGGATGCTTGCGTGTGTACACACACACACACACACACACACACACACACACTACTACTACTACTACTACTACTACTACAGCTACTAACAATAATAAAATAATAAGAATAAATTTAAGTTGTATGCTTAAAAAAAACAGATGAGTGGGAACTGGAGAGATTGGTCAGTGGTTAAGAGCTCTTGTTGCTCTTCTATAGGACCCTGTTTCCATTCCCAGCACCCATATCAGATGGCTCACAACTACCTGTCCCTCTAGCTGTAGGAGATCAAATGCTTCCTGACCTTGGCAGCCACCTACCTGTATATGGTGCACATAGATGGAAGCATGCGTACACAAAGATAAAAAGAAGTCAATTTAAAAACTAATATTTTAAAAAATAGGAAAAATAAAATGTAGTAAAATTTCTTGTGTGTTGAGTAAAAAAACCGGGAAATGACGAAAAATATAACAATAGATTTCTCTATTAAGACGTGTAGGTGTAAAATGCTATCTTTTACAGTCCCATTTGCACATATACATATATCAAACATTATTAAGGAGGGCTGTTCAGAAACATGTGTAGAAGTACACACCTGTAATCCAGCACTCAGGAAATGAAGGCAAGAGGAACAGGAAGTTCAATAGCAGCCTCGTGCCAAAAATAAAATCCTTGATAGGACCGCCATCAAGTTCAGTTAGGGCATGAAAATGAATATATATATGTGTGTGTGTGTGTGTGTGTGTGTGTGCGTGTGTGTATGTATATATATCTCACAATATATAGTTTACATGATAATATTATATGTAAACTAAATATAAGAGAGAAATGTTGCAGCTGGTACTGACAATTGCCTTAAACTGACAAGGGTGTTTAAGTCAGCTCTCCTCACCCAAAAGTTCCATTCTTAAAAGCATGTGTCTGTGTATTAGATGTCTATGTCTATGTGTCTGTAACATGTGTATCTATAATGTATTAAAGTACCTAAAACAAGTATAGACTCAAGTGCTGCTAGTGGTTGTGGCTAGGGAATAAAGGTGAGTTTGCTACGCTGAATAAATTCTATGTAACAAGTCAGATACTTTCTGCTATTAGATAAACCAATAGTCTACTAAAATCAACTGCCTGTGTGGCCGCCACAGTCATTTTATTGTTTTTCCAGAATGTTCCAAAATAGCTCTAGAACAAGACCAGTGGGACCACCAGATAGCTCTCCAGCCTCACCCTTCTTCCCATGCAAATGAAGATGAAGTCTCCAACCCAGCTTTGGCAAAAACCCTTTCTGGAACTCAGGACAACAAGGCCTCTTCCTGCTCCTCTGCTGGGGAAAGGAGGGGCAGCCGAGTAGCTCCCTCCCTCAGAACAGCAGACACCCAAACAAAAAGTCCACCTTCAGGGTGGACATGCTATTTGCAGTTTTGTAGACACAGGTGTTCTTCCAGGCCACTGGAGAACTACAGGGCAGGACTGTGCACGGCCAGGAATAGCTCTGAAGGCCCTTCTCTCAGAAGCCAGCTCTGGAGGCTGTTCAGTGTATGTTCTAACTATATTTGGCAATGCAAACCAGAGAGGTCAGTGGCTTAGCTCAGGATGGGAAAAGACTATCCCTGATTTATAATCCCTGCTTCAAACTAAGACCAAGAATTTAAGACTCCCTTCATTTCTTTCTTTTGCATGTAGTGAATTCACTGCTGAAGTGAGTATCTTTCCCAGCCTCCTGGCCCCACGAAAGCTCTCGGAACCACAGGTGTAAATCACCTACCCAAGCCATCCTTGGAGTCAGAGGACATTTGGGGACATCTGGTCTGAGAAACTAAAGGTTAAAATGATCTCATTTTACTTAAGTCTTTGTAGCATCAAAATAGCCTGCAGCGCTTGGGTACAAATCCAGGCTCTCCCCGTGACTACTCACTGTGTGTCCTTGCCTGGGTTACTTTCTGTCTCTGAGGTTCAGTTCCTTATCTCCAAATAGAGATAATAACACCTACTTCACAAAGCCACCAGAAGAACTCGGTGAGATAAGGTGTATAAAGAGGCTAGGAGAATGTCTGACCCAGAGTGAGTGCTAAAAAAAGAATGGGTTTCTATCCCACCCCAAGTCTCCTTTCCACCCTTAGCTGTTAAGAAAACCTGTTGGGGCTGAGTTTTCAAGGAATTGTCTGGTAGCCTTGGTTGATTACAAATGGCTGACACCCTTCCCACAGCCAACAACAGTAGCTGCAGATTAAAAACTCTGCCGGCTTCTCAGTTGTGGACAGGTTCAAGTCAGCTCACAAATGACTCAGGGCTGTTGATAAATGATGTGTTCTTGGCATCAGGAGGCCCCATCCCGATAACCCTCAACACCTTGTGAAAAAAAATCCAGAAGGCTAGTTGAGCAGCTCCCAGAGCAGAGCCCGCAGCTTCTCGGTGACCTTTAGTTAATCCCAAATGCTGCACCAGGCTGGTCATAAGAGGGTCTCTGTTTGCTCAGAAACATCTCAAGTCACAGGTTTAGCCATGGGAAAGACTCCAGCTGAGCAGCTGTCTGGTTGCTCTCAAGGCTGAACCACTGTAGTTACACTTACTTGCCTTAAATTCCCTGAGTCATAAGACTCCCTCAGATGAAGGTTAGATGCTTGTTCCCTGCTCCCAGCTGCCCCTAAGCCGGTGCCCAACCTGTCTTTGGCAGCTTTGTCTGGCAGATTGAAGTTCTGCCAGAGTAAGGTTTTAGCTGGAGGGCTCTGTGGCTGCAGGACAAACCTTGGCTTAAAGAAAGAAAACCAGTGACTGGCTTGAGCCACTGTCTATGAGGCCAAAGTGGCCTCTGCTCTTAGCAGCTTCCGGAGCCCCTTCAGACCACCCTGAATCCACTGACACGGAAATGGCGGGATTGGAGTCATTTCTTATTCATACATTCCCTGTGCCCCTTCAGTGTCTGACAAAGGTCAAAGTGAATACTTAGCAAGAGGTCCTTGAAGCAGGATGGTCTGTTGCTGCGCTTGTGACCTACTTGCTGCTGGGAGCCTCGTGAAATTGTTCTAATCAGATAGGACGCGGAACTGGACGGGACTAACACTGCCGACATAGTCGAAGCCTTGTCGGCGGAATTTTATGTGCTGCTTTTGTTCTGAAGCAGGAGCGGCCTCTAACCAGGATGTGTCTGGATTCAGATTCAGGATCAGTGCTTTTCATTGTGTATATAGGCTTTCTTCTGCAAGGAAAAAAAAAAAATATCTGGCCCCATAGCTGGGGGCCGTGTAATGTCAACCCCAAACACTTCCATCCTCCAAGTTTCCAGAGATACTAAACCAGGTAGAGGTGCAGGCATTTCAGCAAGTTCAAACGCCAGCAAAACTTTCAGGAAAGCACTATAATTGATCTTCAGGGATTGGCTGAACAATCGGCCGGCGCCTCCTAGGTAGGCAGCGCATTAACCTCCCCTTTTGATAGTCCCTATGTTCCGGGTTTTCAAGCTAAGGATCAAGCACATATCACAGGATACGGAGGTAGCAGAAAGCAAGAAGGAAGGAAAGAGGGAGCGAAGGCTAAAGAGAAATGGAAGGAGCATGAAAAAGGCTTGGGAAAGAGGAAGGAAGAGGAGAGCTGGAAGGGGAGACGGAACAATGAAGGTCTCAGGCCCTGCGAGGCGCACGATTCCGGCTGCACGTCCGTCCCGCCCGCCTCCAGCCGGCAGCTGCTCGCTGCACAGCGTGTGGGCGCTGAGTCACTGTCTCAGCACAGGGAGCCCGCGTGCAGGTCGGGGGGAGCCCGGTTGGCATCTGCAAACTGCTTTTTTTTTTTTCTTCTTTCCTCTTTCATTAAGGCTGTGTGCTGACTCCCACGTAGGAGAACTTATTAAATCGCACGTACTACCCCACCGTTCTTGAGGGACCACGCAGGATGACCAGCAGGGGGCGCCACATCCCCACTTATGGATATTAGGGCCCAGTGAGGACTTGGGGCTGTTAGCAGAGGGTTTCCCAGAGACGTGCGAACATTTTGCAGCGGTAAGCTTTTAACTTTAAGTCCCACAGCTGCAGCATAAACTTTCTACTTAGAAAGCCTCGAAGATCCCCATAAGTCTTCAAACAGCACTTTGGCGCAGGTTCGGTGAGCAAACCCATAAAATTGAGAGTGTGTTGCGCAACCAAGAGAGTCCAGGCTCGCCTAACTACTAGGGTTCATTCTACCCACGCGAGGCGGTGTCTCGACTCCCACCCAGGACATGCACTCTGTGCACCCACATGGACAGGACAACAGAACTCGTGAAAGATAAGTCTGTGCATAACGAGATTCCCAAAACAAAAAGCAAGATTCCAACACTCCCAGGCGATCTAAACCAAGACCATCTTTCCCCAAATGGATGAGCCGAGAATGAATCAGCATTGAGACAGTTTATTGGTTTGCTTTTTCCCAGATCACATATTTTATGTAAATAGATTATACGTAGACACAATGTTTTTTCTTCTTCCACAGGCGGTAATCAGGCGCTCTCCACCTTGCACACACACACATACACACACACACACATACACACACACGGAACCAAACAACCTTACACCTCGCTGAGACATTCACGTCTTAAAATAGGGGAAGGTGACAATATAATCGCTTTAAAATGCCCTTAATAGAATATATAACGTACAAAAATATCTCTATATATTTGAAGTTACAAAAAAAAAACCTCTTGACACCAACAACTTAAATATGATAGTTACCTTTGGCTGTACAACAAGCATTGCACTTTTCCTCGCTAGGTTTTGGAAAGTTCAAGTAGTAATGGGGCTTATGCCCCGTGAGAAACCAGTTTGTGAGCGGGCAAGGCAGTGGCTCAGACCCCTGCCCGAAGGGTGATGCCTGTAATTTTCAGTTTCTGTCGTGAGCCTGGCTCGATCTTGGGTTCTTCTGCCTCCCCTGGGGGCAGCCAGGCAGATCTCTGCAGGATTGTCTCAGTCCGCCCTGGGTGCGAAGCTCTCTGATTCCGCAGGCGCCAATGGGACACTCGCCCGACTGTTCAATGCTGCCACCGCACCTAAATCCTAATGAGCCTGGAGGTGATTCGATTGCGCCTGGGAGGCTGGGGCTGCGTATGTCTGCTCCTGGGAGGACACCACAGTCCGGGCAAGGAGGATCTCCGGCAGGGAACGCCGGCGCCGGCGGCCGTAGCCGTGAGGACTGATCTTGCTCCTGGGGGCAACGCCGTCCTTGTCTTTGTCTGTGAACTGGTAGATCTGGTGGGCTAATTTCTGCACTGTGCAGGTCCCAAAGCGGCATCCAGAGTTGCGGGAGCCCTGGTTCATGCTCTGGCGGTAGCGTTTGACTCGAATGTGGGCTACGCTCTGAGTGCTGAGGAAGGAGGAGGAAGGATACTTGAGACCTAACCAACCAGGGCTTTGGCCCCAACCACCTGGGACCAGATCCACGCCGAACCTGAGGGAACCTGCTCCCTCCCCCAGAGCTGCAGTTCAACCGGGAAAATTCCCCGGGCCGGGGCAGTGGAGCGGGCACATCCTCTGCAAAGGGCATAGTTACCTGGTTTGTGGGGTGCTAGATGTGCTCTCCTGGTCCTGGAGCTGAGCTAGAGTCTGAGTAGGAACCGTCTTCTCATCAGCGAGCCCCGTGGGGTAGCTGCTGGGTACTTGCAGTTCCCTCTTCCCATGACTTAGCGCCCACTTATTCCACCTAGAAAACACAAGCAAGCAGATGCGTTTGGCATGTGTTCGAGGTGTCCCAGCCAGCTCCTGTATCCACTCCCTTCTAACCCCTATGGGCCATCCGTTGGTTTTCCCTTACTGCCTGCTATTATTAGGACTGCCCCAAACTCACTTCTTTCGGAACTGCGAGGATGCGTCTAGCCGTGCGGTGTCTGCGCCTAGGAAGGCGAATGAACCCAGGAACATCAGGGTGACAGTAACCAGCTTCATTCTGTGGCGATGCTCAGATACCCTGGAAAGAAGCAAGAAGCCTCGTGTGAGCAACCAAGTCAGCTGCACAGTCCAGGTGGGGCACGAAGGGCGGCGGCAGTGTGTGTGTTGGGGGGGTGGTGACGGCTCTCTGCTGGGCCCACTTGCTTATCTCCCCCTGGCACAGAGAGGCGCCGGAGGCTTTTGCACTGGCCGGGTGGGTGACAAGCAAGGCAAAGGAAGCCATTGTACAGTGTCAGGCTTCCAGAGGTTTCCAACTCTACTGCTAGGATCGTAGTCCAACGAGGAAAGATTTCATGAGAGCTCCAACTGTGTGCAAGAGCTAGACTTGGGGCATGAGGTGTACTCTGCAATGGACACCCCAAAGTGATTTGCTCCCCTTGTCCAGCGCAACAAGTTTTTGACCTTTCGCGAAGCCGCCCTCCTCCCTAGCGAGCTGGAGGCCAGCGGTCCTTACCTCCTGAAGGGATGATTTTTCAAGCACTTGAAGAAGAAAGTCCGAGACGTCCTTCTGACAGTGGCAAAACCCCAAAGTCCAAGACTGACAGCGGTGAGAATCCAGGAGCGGTTAACGCTGGAGCTGTTCTGCTTAGCGTCACCAAGAAACCACTGAACAGCCAGCGCCAGCTCCAGCCCCTTTATACGCGCTCGGGGGGGGCGGGGCCTGCTCTGCCCCGGAGCCCTCCCTTTCCTCCCGAGCGTTTGCTTCTAATCTGATCAACCCAGCAATTTGCCCGTGGGTATGGGGGTAGGTGTAGAGGTCCTTTGTGGCCTGGGGTCTCAGGGATCTACTCTGGGAGATTATACTGGTGTGGGACTTCCGTTGCCCCAATTTCCTGACGTAGGGTTCAGACAGTGAGACGGGAAAGAGGACCCGAACAACTTGGGGTGGGAGCTATCTTTTTCCTAGAACCTCTACTGTTCAGTATGCTAATCCGAGCTTTCTGGATTGAGCTGTAAGAACCTGGGGACGGGTGGGACACATGACTAATCTAAACCCTGGATTTAGGGAGCTGGGTCGTCACCCCCCCCACACACAACAACTGGGCCGCGCCCCCTGCTGACTTAGCACCTGACTGAGCCTCGACCCTCGGGGTACACCCTGCCCTCGGGGTACACCCGGAAGGATGAGGCTCAGACCCCTTGACTGAGACTGAAGGGTTTCTCGATGGGCTAGTAAGTAAGATTTCGTAATAGGACAAAGCTGGGAACAGCTGAATTGAAAATTGGGGTTTGGAGAGGGTAGTTATCTGAAGATTCAGAACTCACATTCCAATTTGGAAATACAGGAATAGCCAAAACTAGGAAGACAGTTTTGTTTTGCTCCTTGTAATACTATTATGCCTTATAAGGTTACAACCTGCGGGTTGGCCTGGCTGCCTTCATTCATCCATTGTAAACGTGAGGAGTGACTGACAGGGAGCACACTAATGCTTCATGTATGTTAATCGCTTTACCGTCGGCAAATCCCAGCCAGATCCCAACCTCTTCTGATCTTTGCACACACTCCGGAGCTGGGGTTCTCTTGTACGAAAGTGAAGTTCAGAGAGGGGAAGTGATATTGCTCTAAAGTTGGGAAGCCAGTGTCCGAACTCAAAAGCCTGGGGTGCCAAGGCCTGAATTCTTTGAGCAGGGGGGTCACCATTCTCGTCAAGGGGGAGTGGAGAACTCTGGCCCCCGCCCAGAGATATGTGCTAATTCATGATGAATCAGTTCGAACACGTTTGGCTCCTCACAGATTCTTGAGTTCACTTACTTCCCTTCTAGGGCCAAACTGAGCTACAAGGCGCAGCTCCACACGCAGGTCTCCCGTGTCACTACCCACCACCTTCCTGGAAGGTCCCAAAGTTAAAGGCATTGCCTACCCCAGCTTCTAGTCCTCAGTCTTGGCGATCTGGATACAGACAAGTCATGCCCTTTTCCTAGCGTCCCAGGTAGACCTCCAAGCTTCCTACCTGATCTGCCATTAAGTGTTCTGAGACCCAGCGCAAAGTCGGCTGGGCATTGGGTCCCTCGGACCTTGCCCACTCCGAGGTCTGGGCTGAGCCTTGCTGGCTCAACCCACTTTTCACTCTCAAGGCTGAACAGTGGACATTGCACCTGGGCGAGGAATGGCCGCACTGTGTTACTTATTCTGGGGACTCTTCCTACAACAGGAGAGCTGAGTTCCACCTGGGGCGGGGGACAGATTCCAGGCTCTGGTTCTGGTAGGGGCTTGGGACACGAATGTTGAAAGGGCTGCCGCTTAGGCGAACTGGCCGCTTTAGGGCCTTCTGGGCCGCGGGACAGTCACCGCAGCAACCTCAGCCAGGCGCTGGGGTGTCTGCACCACCGACCCCTGGTAGCGCACGCGCCGCGGGGTTCCCGGGAACCCCAGCACTTCACCACAGTTTTTCCTCGCTTCTGTCTCTTCCCCCTGCCCTTCCTTTCACTTCTTCCCGGGATCGTCTGTCGACGCAGCGGCTGTCAGTCCCTAAGAATGTGACCTACCTGTTGCCAACTTCCCGCTGGCCACGTCAGGTTTTACTTTCATTTCCCTGGCCCTATCCTCTGTCAGCTCAGGAGGTCAAGGACAGCCCGGCAATGGCCCACAGCCAGGGCAAGTCTCGTGAGCTGAACTCCTTCTCACCAATCCCTACCAGCCTTGAGGGGGACTGTCTGCAGAGAATCCTGCCCGGTTGAATCTCATTCCTCCCCGTTTTGCATTTGAGGAAAGTCGGTGACCCGAGGTTAACTCTGGTTTGAGACATGACAGCCAAGTATGCTCTTAGTCGAAATTTGTTATTATTTTCGAGTAGGATCCCAGGTTGTAGTCCAGGTTGGCTTGTGAAACTAAGTAGCCGAAGATGACCTTGAACTTCTTTCTGCTTTAGTTCTGTCAACTGACCTACGCCCTGAACCCCCCCCCCCCCCGCCCACATCCTTGTTGCTACCCATCCCGCCCCCCTTCTTTTTAAGCCACGAGTGGTTTCAACAAGGAAGTGAACCCAAGGGTGGAAGGAGGGATTCCGTGGCTTGGCTCCACCAGAACTCTGTGTGTGCAGCAGTGTTGGCACTGTGCCAGGAATCCTCACCTGAGCGCCTTGGCATGCGCCTTATCAGCCTGGGCGCTCTTCGCCGCGCTGGCACTTCAGAGATTGTCGCCTGAGAACCAAGCCAATTCTTTTTTTAGGTGAAGTCCCAGACTGGCAACTTGGAGGATTTTGTCAGAAAATCTTCGAAAGCGTCTGTATGATTGTGGTTTGCGTGGGTGGGCAGCCTCTGCCAATGAGCTCCCCAAAGTGCTAGAGGGTGTGAGTGGTAAGAAGATGAGGCATTCCCCACGTCTGGCCATCCACTTCTTCCTTCCCTTTTTGTGAAAATGAGTTAGTTACCTTACTTAATCACAAGTACAGGGGAAAAAAACCACTAGAATGTGTTTGGGTTCAAGGTCTAGAGAAGTGAGGCAGTGGGGTCCTGGTGGCCATATTTTCACAGAACTGCATCCATTCAAGAGCAGTGGTTGGAAATTCACATTGAGCAAGCGAGCAAGCAAGGAAGTGAAGGAAGAAACACGTTTAAAATCTTCCCGGCTTTTAACGAGGATCCACTTTGTGCATATGTATGTACACACACACACACACACACAGTCCTAGAATTCTTAAACAGTGTTGATGTGTACATGCTGTCACCCTACAGATAACTATACACACAAAAATGCACATAATATACATATACTCTTAAAAGCTTGCAGAATAATGGTGTTTTGATGTCTTCCTCACATTCTAACTGAATTATTTTTAGGCCCTAAATCTGAACCCAATTCTTAGCAATGTTTGGAGGTTTTGTTTGTTTGTTTGTTTGTTTGTTTTGAATGTGTGGTTTTATTTCTTAGTTAACAGTGTGTACACATCCCTAACACTAGGATCGGCATACTCAGGTCTTTAAAAACGTAATGAGACACAATAGATAGTATTAACAATGTTAGTCAGCAAAATGCAAGCCACTGTGTTTTGTACAATGATCTCAGATGCCTCTTTTCAAACAGGAAATTTTATGATGCATTTTTATTCACGAGGCACAACATGCCGGTTAAGCCTAGGGCTTGTTTACAACATTCTCTTGAAAACAGGTTCAAGATGCATCCTGAAGTCATAACATCAAGTGGTTTACAGAGAGAACACAATCAGCTTTTCGGATTTGGTCTCCTGGGGATAAGTAAGACAGGATGCAAAGCCCAGAGCATCTTCCGGGGATCTGACTTCTCACAAGAACTAATGAAAATAGAGATTCTTCCCAGAAAAAAGAACATGCACACGAAATCAGCTAAGTATAAAGAGGAGATGGACCAGGTTAAGATCCCTGGCACCAGATAACAGCACTATTTCTGTAGCTGTGACTTCCATCTTGTTTAGAACGGCAGAGACAGGAAGACTGCTATCCCCTGGCTTTAAGGCAGAGCAGATTCATAAAGAAAAGTAATGCTTTTGTTCCTCCTCCTCCTTTACCTCCAGTATGCAAAGCAAGTGTCCCACTACGGAGCTGCTTGCCCAGCCTGTGCACAAACGGGCAGATACAGACAGTCTTTGCATGGGATAGAGCTGGATGGTGAACCTCACTGAAGCTTAAAGAAAGTAACTTGTGGGATAAATGAAAGAGACCACAAAGAAGGCAACAGGCATAGAGAAGGCTGTTCTACTAACAGCAGAACTTGGGAAAGTTAGGAACTATGGACTTGCCGGAGGAGGTGTGTCACTGACGGTGAGCTTTGAGGTTTTAAAAGCCTCCACTATTCCCAGTCAGCCCTCTGCCTCATGCTTGTAGACCAGCTACTGCACTAGTGCCATGCTTGCCTGTCTGTCTGCCCGCCTGCTTGCCTGCTCCATGGTCCCCACCAATCATGGACTCACCCTCTGAAACGAAACTCTAGGTACCTAACCAACTGTGTCTTCTCTAAGTAGCCCTATCATGATAACTAAGCACAGAGACAGAAAAGTAACTAAGACAATGGGTTTGAGAAGAAGAGAGAAATGATTTGGTGCATACTTATCTCAAAGATCCTATTGTCCTGTCAAATTAATAAGATTTCAGAAATAAAAAACCCATATTTTACATGAAAAAAATTTAAAAGATAGTTTTGAGGGTTGGGCATAATAAGCACTTCTGTACTTCTGGTACACAGGAGGTTGGGGCAGGAGGATTGTGAGCTTGGGCTATATGGTGCGATCACCTCGACAACAATCATAAGAAAAGAACAAACAAAAATTATTTTGAAGTGGGGAGGGGTAGCTAAGTGGTGAAGCACGTGCTTAGCGTGCACAAGGAAGGCCCTGGATCCCATTGTCGTCTCCAAAATAACAGCCAAAGAAGAAATGCATCTCAAGTAATGAATGTGGTAGATGGCCTTGAGGAGCAGGAAGGGCAGGATGGTGGTAGCACCAAGGTAGATTAGATTGCACGATCTCCTCACCATCTGAACCCCTACCCCCACACTGCAGTGTGCACACACACTGAACCAACACAGCCAGCCTTGTAGAAGTGCGTCCTGTTCAGATGCATGGGGACCTGCACTCAGAAGAGCCTGTGCTTGTTTTAATGCTCTGCTGTAGCTCTTTTGCAATTCCTAGCTTTTGAATAAGGGCTCCTTCACTTTCATTTTGCACTGGACTCTGCAAAATTATGTAGCCAAGGCCTGTTCACCAAACATGCAATCTAACTAAAAGCAGCCTATAAAACCTCACAGTACCTATTTATACTGTAGCAACTGCAGTCACGGGTACTTCAGATGAATGTCGAGATTCCATGGTCTACGACACACATTTCTTCAGTCATCTCCAAAGTTTTCGTCCCTGCACCCCGGACATAGTTCTATGTGAAAATAGTGTGCTTGGTACACACATTTAATTTTAAGACAGGGTCATTGGCCTGCTTTTTGTTTTTAGGTTTTACACACACACACACACACACACACACACATACTTTATATATATATATATATAAAGAGAGAGAGACTGGGAATGTACATCAGTTGTCTTGCATATTCAAAACCTTGAGTTTGGTACCTGTAATCCTAACAAGGAGGTGGAGTCAGGAGGTTCAGAAGTTCAAGGTCATCTTCGAGTTCTTTGAAAGTCAAAGGCTAGCCTGGCGTACATAAAACCTGATCTTAAAAACATGTTTTACGTATACAGAATCATATTTCCCAGACATGGAACTCATGAAGAGGGGACTAGGTACGGAAGGTATTCTAATTATCAAGATGGGAGGTGACGAAGATGTGAGGGTGGAGTGGATGTGTGGGAAGCAGGAGCAATAGGGCCGAATGACGAGTGTGGGGCAGAGAGAAAGACCAGCGTCCAGGGCAGCAGTCATTAAGCTTCTGGCTTAGGCAACTGAGTGGTTAGAGATGTGGCAATGGATCAGGGAATTTTCCACCACAGCTCTCAGTCTCCTTTGTTATGGGATGCAATTTGAAGGCCCCCTCCGCCCCACTTGGGTCTTGCCTGCAGGACATATGGTCAGATCCAGCTTTCATACTGCCTCCCTGAGCTGCCGTGGCTAACCACAGGAAGCACTTGAAATGACTGTACAGTTAAACCACTCACCCCACCGCAGGCCACTGGAGGAGTATGGGGTGAGAAATCTTCCTCTCTGGTAATCAGCTCCATTTTGTCTTCTAAGGCAAGAGAGATTGCCATCTCTCGCATGTGCTTCGTCACTGGAGCTGTATAGCCTTCTTCCCTTCCAGCTCCCAGCCTCCAGCAAAACAAATCTGGACTTGCTTTGTTCTTTCCCTGTTGGTGGAAGATGATGGTAGTTATCTTAGGGGATGGGATGGCCTCCAGCCAAACTCGCAATCAGGCTGCCTTGTCCGGGCTTATCAGTTTCAGCAGCCTGGCAGTTAGTGGGTGAGAAAACAAAGCAGAGCTTCAATGGATGCTAATGTGTTCATGTGTAGATAGGAACACATAGTACCTTTAGACTGGTACCTTAGGACAGGTGAAAACCTCGTTTACAAAAAGGCCATTTAAATGTCCACTAATCTACCTAAGACCTTAAGAGAGTAAATATACCTGGGAAGGTATTGCTTGATTCTAGGTTTGAAAACAACATTGAAAAAGTAAACAAACAAACAAACTTGCAGGGTGGGAACATAGCTTAGTAGGAAGAAGAGCAAATTACCTTGGGTTTCATGCTTAGCATCAGAGAAAAACACCAACACCTGCAAATAGAATTTAAATAATATGCATTTAAAAAGCAAATGGGGGCTAGAGAGCTGGCTCAGTGGGTAAGAGAACTTGATTCTTATCCAACGAACTAAATTCAGTTCCCAGCATCCATGCCGGGTAGCTCACAATAGTCTGTAACTCTAGGTCCAGGGGCTCTGACACCCTCTTCTGGTCATCACAGAGAGAGAGAGAGAGAGAGAGAGAGAGAGAGAGAGAGAGAGAGAGAGAGAGA